TTATCCCAACGTTGACAGTCCGAGCCGGAGGCAAATCAACATGGCAATCTGTTGCCAAAACAAACAATCGCCGGTTCGGGTTCCCCTGTCGAAAATTGGCAGGCAATGGAGTAGCAAGGATAAGGCAAACAGCAGCCGCCACATTTGACTTCCCTGTCCAAGACACACACTGGCACTCTGGAGAATTGGAGACAAATACGGAGAGGGCTTGGCTAATTAGCATACCAAAAGGGGAATACAGAGGGAACTTCATGATTAAGCCAAGCACTGAACCCGTGAAACACCTTTAGCTAAGGTGGTATCAAAATATTGATAAGACACCACCATATTTACATTTTTCCATCGGCTTAAATGCCAAAAGTCCACTTGTAATTAATGGCTTAACGATCTTTAATAAAGTAGCGATGCGAGAAAGCAATCAACTAAGAGAATTTCCCCAGGATGTGGCACATGACCCAAATAAAATGAATTTTTAATAGCAATTTGCCGCAGCAAGTGGCCAAGGACACGGACTAGCCGTAGTCCATTCCCTGCCTCCTTCTTGGGGCTATTTTAATTATTTATCCGTCGACAAATTCGACAGGAGCGTGTCTCTGAAAAATGCCAGTCTCTCGCCCCAAGTGTGAAAACCCTGCTCGAGGGGCAGGAAGCCAAAACTTGCTATGTTTCATCCATCAGGCGCCAGGCAGGGAATCTAATTAGTTCATTCATAATTGAGGTCGCTGCTCATTTTGGCGGAGCCGCTCAACTGAAGGAGCCAAAATCCCTACTTAATGCCACACACTTTTCCGAGCCATCAGGCGCTCTGTTGCATTTAATGCCAGAACATTACATACGAGGACGAATACACGAGTTCTCGTAGTCTGTAAATGCCGTAGATTTTAATAGGCAGACATATGTGTAAGTGGGCATAAAAACATATATGGGCATTTCCATAAAATATAATAAATAAGTTAAAGAGAATAATTTTTGTAGCTCTGAAACATTATTTAAACCTGTTTCAGTATTCCTATAATTATATTATTATTTCTTTCACAACAGAATATCTCCGTTATTAATTTTAAAATCCTTTCCTTTACTCTCCTCTGGAAAAATCCATATGTGTAAGGAGCCTCCACACCCTTTCCTTGGGCAGCTGCAAATTCTTGACTTTCAGCTTCGTTTAATTAAGCCGAAATTTCAACAATGCGCACATATACACACTCGAGCTCAGCTGCCTTGTTGACAGCTGTCTGCAGGATCTGTTCCACGGCTCCTTGGAATGGCTAGAGTCCTGCATCATCGTGAAGGCCAAGAAGGAGAAAGGCGACATGGGAACCTGCAATTGTCGGCGGGGCATTGACAGCTCGACAATGGTGGCCCAGAGCTGGCAGATAGCCGGGGCGTAGACTTTTCGCAATTGTCATTGCAGTTAGCATCTGCTCAAGTGTTCTATTGCCACATCACTCGTCACCTTGGGAGCTGTCGTCGTTCGCTCCCTCTTGCAATTTCCTTTATTTTTCCACACTTTCCTTGGCTTTCCCCCTTGCCCTTCCGCCGACGTTGTTGCCTAACGAGGCACGAGCAAAAACTTTAAGTTTCCGAGAAAGTTTCACAAAAAGCAAACAATAAATATTTGCTCAGCGCATAAATCAGCAGTCTAGGCTCTGCTATTATCGTTCCTGGATTTATATATGCATACTATATGTATATCTTGCCCAAGCCCCGCCCCAAGCATTGCCTGTTGGCTGTGCAAATTTAAATGTATGCTAAGCAGCGAGTTTAGTTGGTTTTCTGGGTTCAATGCGCCTCGAAACTCGAGCGTGGCAAAGTTCAAAGTGCAAGGAAATTGAAAATTTATTATGTTTCTGAGCGAAAAATATATGGAAAATAAATAACTTGTTCGGAAAATGTTAAAATGGTTCATGGTATATTTTATGATGATGATTTGAATGTAATAAACAGTTTTTAAAACAGTTGTAGTATAAATTTGGAAAATTTATTACAGGTAGAAATTATCTTATCTTTTAGGAAAAAAAAGTTAAATTAATTTTAGTAAAATACTATTGTTTTCCGTGTATGAATTGCAAATTTCTATAAGGTTTGACAGAAGAGAATCGCATTATTCCTGCATAAATGCTCTTTGAAGTGAAACAAAGGCGGAACGATGAAAATTATGTTTTCCCCCAGCCAGTCCTCCTCTGGCAGGACCATTGTTAGAATGTGTTTTCGGTCTAGTAATTGTACAGGGCATTTAATTAACAACTGTGCTGTTGCGCCCACTCGAAGTAATCCTGTAGCTAGCAGGTCCTGTTTTTGCCAGAGGCGGAAGTGCTTGGAATGACACTGTAAAGTAAAGTGTGCGAGTTCGCCTATTATTCAGGCTTGTCGCTCCTCCACTTGTAAATCACACTACTTCCGCCCACGCAGACAGGGACACAGAGACAGAGACAGAGACAGCGACAGCGACAGAGAGAAAGAGACAGTGAGGCAGACCGAATGGAGGCCAGACAAAGGACAGACAGGACATTCGGACAGGTGGGCAGGCATTGCGCCTTTTGTAGCCATTCAGACAACAGGTTTTGCGCCTTATTATTGCAGGACCTCCTCCAGCTGTTGTTGTTGTGTGTGTTAGTCTGTGTGTGTTGACGTTTAATCAACGCATTGTCCCATTTAACTCTGCAAACAGAACGAAAGGCTCTTCTCCCAGCCCTGTTCGTGCTTCCTTTCTGGCCAGCCTGCCTGGCTTCCTTTGTCGTTGTCCAGCAGCATTTGTTGTCCACTTTTATTGCCAATTAAATGCAGTAGCTGGCTGTCTCTCCACCCCCCTTTCTTTGGTTTAAACTTCTTTTAGCACACACTTGGCAGATGCTTTGTTTATGCTTTCTCTTTGCGCGCTGTTCCGTGAAAGAACATCTAAATTCTCACTTATGGCTCTCAGGATGGGGATTGCAGTCCAAGGGAGCTCAGTTGAGGCTTAAGTGGGCAGTCTGGGAAATAGAAGGAAAGGTATCGAAGTGGAAAGTGTGAGGGAGCTTCTCTTAAAAACTTATGTGGCAAAGTTTATTTCAAGTGAATTAAAATCTCTAAGTAAGAGTAACCAAGTTATGGGATGTAAGAATGAATTTAAGGAGACTTAAATACTTTGTTAAACTATAAAAACTATCAATATAGTCTTTAATTATAATTTAAAATTAAAATATTATTATTCCTTTGCTTTACCATCAATTAAAAGAAAATGTGGCATGAAATTGAGAGCAGAATAAATGCCAGAAATAATTAAAGCTAGCAGCTGTTGGCTGTTCATTTAATTTAATGTAATTCTTAATGCATAAAGTTGGGGCTTGGCCTGGCAAAGGGTCACCTACTTGCGGGGCTTTGGGAAATTGAGAATTCATTATGACATCGCTGACTCACTGCCACTTCCACATCGACTTCACCATCGACTTCCACTTCCGCTGCCACATCCTGGCTGTTAACTGCTTTTTAATGACACTGCGCCAATGGAAGCAACATGGACATAAACATTAACATCGCGAAATAATGTCAGTGAAGCAGAATCTGTGCAGCTGCCGGCGGGGATTTTTAATGAAAATTCACTTGACACGAGAGAAAAGGCATTTCGATGTAATTTTTATAATCTTAAGTGTCTTTTACTGTCCATCGTAATGCGGCGGAGCCTCAATTAATTTTGTTTACTGCCCCGTTTACGATCCATTTCGATTCCATTTGGAGTCAACCCCATCCTCTGGCCGGGCCAATCAATCGAGTTTCATGTTTATGAATGAATAATCGCACCTCAGTGCGTTTATATTGCTGTAAGCTAGTTGCCGGCGATCCGGTTAAATATTTACGCAATTTAGTTAATGGCCAGCGTTCCGATGTTTGCCATAACCTTAACATAAATAAGTTATCTGGCTTATGCCAGGGTATTAAGCATACGCCCCGTGGCCCGCTCAGCCCAAAAGAATGCTACACTTGCAGCCGCAGTTGAGGCGATTAAAAGGAAGTTGTTTCCATTTCAGACAATTAACAACTTTAAAGTTAATAAGCCGCTTATGTGCAGCCAACAGAAATTTAATTAAACAAACTTTATGGCAAAGTGGCTCTGGTGAGGGAGTGAAAATATTAATGCAACTTCGGCAGTTTCATTTTTGAATTAATTAATTGCATTCGTCAGCGGTTTCGAGTCTGCTTTTTATTGGTGAAAGGATGCCTTTCTGTTTTTTCCTATTTATTAATTAATAAATTCACTTGCACAGCTCAAGGTCGTGGTGTGGCGGTGGTGTGTGTGGTTAAATCAGGCAAATAGTTTGGCTTATGTTAAGGGAAAGGCAACCGCCGGAATGCCAACATGTCTGCCAAAGAAACCGCAAGACAAATGCCTACTCAAAGTTTCCACAAACAGAAAGATAGAGAGACACATTCTGCGGGATGATGGCAGGCGCTTAAGCCAAACAAATTAATTTCATTACGAACCCTGGCAATTTTCTTGAAAATTTTGTCAATTTTAATTATGAATAATGCCGCAGAACAGCCCTGCCAAGTGGATTCTGGCCACAGATGCCACAAATGATTGATAGTTTTTTCGGAGTGTGTGTGTGTGGCCAGGACATGCGTGTCGGCAGCAGGCAAGAGTCAAGACGAAATAATAAATGGAGTTGGGAGTGAACATCCAAGAATGCCAGCAAGATGCCAGTTAATTAAATTTGTGGAAGGTTTTCCAAAAATTTGATTAGATTTAGATCAAAGGAAGGGGGTCTAACCACAAAGGGTTTTTGAATAGAGTTCGAATGGGTTAACAAATGTTTGAGAAGAAACAATTTGGAACCTTAAATATTTATTAATTTATTTATTCTAAGAGATGAAACCTTCTATAAATGTATAATAAAATAACCAATCACTTCCACAATTCAATGATATTTTTGCTTGGCTTGACACAGACATTAATATGCATTTCTATGGAATTCTTATATACTATTTTGCCATCTTCTAAGAGTTCCTTTCTCTCCTCCTTGCAGCTGACATCGTTCTACAATGAGAGCAGCTGGACAAACGCCTCTGAAATGGATACAATAGTTGGTGAGGAACCGGAGCCGCTGTCACTTGTGTCAATTGTAGTTGTTGGTAAAGTAAATGTCGTTGAATGTACGCCATAGCAGAGGGCACAGCAGTGTCCACCTCATCCTCACTGCATCCACTGCATCTACTGCATCATGTACCATGTACAGAGTCACAACAACACACGCGGCAATTATCCGTAAAACTGCATGTTGCATGTGACAAACGCCACTTTCCGCCCACACGCACACACACTCACTCACCGGCACACCCCACCCATCGCACACTCGCTGTTCGTTGTGTCCTGCCCACATAAGTATGCTTTACCACATGATACCCCATGACCCGTCGAGGAAGTGGACCGCGATTGGTGTGACATTTGACTTGGACTCGCCGCAGGCATCTTCCTCTCGGTGCTGATATTCCTCTCGGTGGCCGGCAACATCCTCGTCTGCCTGGCCATCTACACGGAGCGGAGCCTGCGACGCATCGGCAACCTCTTCCTGGCCTCCCTGGCCATAGCGGATCTCTTTGTGGCCTCGCTGGTGATGACCTTTGCCGGAGTCAACGATTTGCTGGGTGAGAAGAAAATAAATATAAACGATACATACATGTTAGATCTAAGAAGCTCTAAGAAATGGTATAAATAATATTTAAAATTGAATATATGTTCTCTAAATATCATAAATAATATCTTGAATGTGACCGAGTTATTTCCACTTGATATTGATATTATTTAGGATTTTCTGAGGTTGAGAATTCTCATTTCCTATATGTATTCCTCTGGGAAACTCTGAGCCTGGGTAATGGGAAATTGCAATTGAAATTGGCGCTGAAATTTATGTAAAATGCTGCAGGCTGTGCCAGCACTAAGGACGAAGGGTCCTCCGCGCCACTCGGCGATGGCGGCGGAACCCACTCGAGCTCATTCGACATGCCTGGCAGCGCTTAAAGCCGGATTTTATGTGGCTTTGTCAATGCCTTTTAAAGTGTCAGCTGCACAAGGAGGCGACGCACGAGTTCCCCAAGAGCTTCTGGCTTCAGCCTTTCGAGTTTACCGAGTTTTCCCGACTTTTTCGAGTGTTCCCGAGTTCTCTCCCTGATGATGGGGTCCATTGTGATTGCACAAGATTTCCTCCTGCGCTATATGTATATAAGGATCGAGGGTTTTTCGTGGGGTTTCTCAGGATATTTATATATTTTGAAAAATATATATATTTAATAATGATTTAAAGAACTGAAAAATAAAAACCCTTAGGCACATGTAATATTGATGAGTTAGTTGCTTTTATAAATATTAAACTTTAAACTTAAAAAACACAACTTTCTGAGCATCCCTCGTGTCACCCACATCGTTGGACAAATGGTTATAGTCAGGCCAAACAGGAATTTCATTTTATTCCGGCTCTGCGAGTGCCAGTGACGGCGGCGGCTAACATGCAGATCCCGAGTGCAACCACACATTCTGATTATTTTCCATTAGCCATTCCTCGAGTTATCCTTGTAGCTGGCGGGTGAAGAAGGAGGCTTCAGCTGCAAGGACTCGACCGTCTCCTTGCTTGCATTTTATTAATTCCACCAACGGAGATGGGAGGAAACTCGGGCTAAGTAAATAAGAGGCAAATTAGGCGAAAGGCGGCAAAACTTTGCCCTTATGGGTAACCGAGAGGTCGAGGGTAATTGGGGGTTCGCTCGTTCGCTCGTTCAGAGCCAGCAACAGCAGCAGCAACAACAACAGCGTGTTCCGGCTGAGGAAACATGCAGCTGGCATCAATGTGTGTAAGGACTCCCGCACGCACGCTGCAAAAAAGTGGAAAATCATAAACATCAAACAAAAGAAGCAGATATGGGAGTCGGAAAATGTGAGCGGAATCCAAAGCGATGCGGTGAGAGATGAGATGCGGTGAGATGGGAGAGAGGGTGGTAAGGACAGGACAGGAGGTAGGAGATGATGAGGCGACACAAGTATGTCAACCAGGGTGAACAGGGGCGTACTGCAGGAAATTTTTAAGGGGGACTAGGGGGTCTTTTATTGGGTATTTCGTTCTTAGAAAATATTATAAATAAACCCAATCCCAACATAAATTATTTGACTCTCTAAAAGATATTTCCTGGTATCCCTTTAAATACTTTTCAATTTTCTGATACAATGTTTAAAATGTTTAAAAAATGATCTAAAATCCTTTAAAAGAAAACTCCGCCTGCTCCCCTGACTCCACCCACTCCCCCTGCCCGCCAGCATGTGTGAAAATAATAAACGACATTGGCACTCGAATCTGAGACGAGCGACGACGGTGCTGCCGCCGCGTTAGCAAAAGTGTGAAAAAATAAATAAAAATGCTCAGCTGCTCAAGACAAACAGATGCCAGCCTCTGGGGGCCAACACCCACGCTAAGGCTAACACCAGCACACCCACACACACTCACACGGAGGCAAATTATTTTCGCCAAGGCAACATTTAGCACGCTCGAAGACAGGCAAATCAGCAAATAAACATCGTACGCAATTGGACAAATTCAAACAACAACAGGAGAGGGAGCACAAGGACGAAGGCGAGTGGCGAGAACCGACAGATGCTGCCAGCAGCCGGAGGAATCACGAAAAACATATACATATAAAGCATACTTCTTTTTGGCCAGCAGCAATGTACATGCACACATATGTATATGTTCGGTGTGTATTGAAAGCGGCATGAATTATTTGCTGACTTGAATAACACCCCACGGCCCCCACTTCCACACACACACACCTCCCGAAAAATGCTTTTTTCGGGGCCATGAGCACATTTTTGGCCAAAATGCTGAGGATTCCGGCTCAGTCCCGCTCCGAATCTCCAAACGGATTTCGTGTGGAGTGCAAATTCGGTATTTCCGCAACCATTTGCAAATCTAATGCATTGCTCAGAACAAAGCTCTTGAAAGTATTTGACAACCGAGGAGTTATGGAAAGACCATCGACATTGGCAGGCGAAATAGAAACTGAGTGACGTGCTGACAGAATGCAGAGCATTTTTTGGGAATTTCCAAAGATACGATGAAACATTTCAAGTGGCGTTACAATAAATGCAGTGAATATGAATTCTTTGTTTTGTTTAAGTCATTATTTGGTTTAATTTTAGGATGAAAGATGGGAAATATTGTAGTCTAAAATTAAATAATTAATAATATAAATAATATTAGAATTTATTTATATTATTTATATTTATATTTACTATAAATAAATACATCTAACTTAAGTCCCAGTCCAGCCATTAATGCTGACTGGCTGTTATTACATTTGAAATCCTAATGACCCAACCTTCTGATGTCCTGCCATATCCGGCTGTCGGCCTGGAGCTGGGTTCAGATCGTATCCAATCGGATTTGCTTTGACCAGTTGCGTTGGCATTTCCTGCGCCATTTAAGTGCCGTATCCCGTATCCTGGCACACGCTTGATTAACTGGCCTGAAAGCCGCAACGAGCATGATATGCATATTCTTATCCCGGCCCCCAAATCATCGGTCGAAAGCCAGCCAGGAATAAATAAATAAATAAGCTTTTTATGTGGCAAATCAGTGATTGAATTCATGTGTGTATGCTGAAATTCAAAGGACATCCGCTTCTGGTCACGCACAGGACATCAATCGACTTGCAACGCACTTATGTATGAAATTTTTACCAGGCAGCCCGTGAAAATAAATTATTTGTTTTCACTTTCGGCCAGAGAATGAAATTTAAATGGCTCACATGGCGGCAAGAGTGCTGCAAGGCAGAGCGCCCAGGAAACGGAAATGAATTTATGAAATCATTTAAACTCAATTTACGTCGTGAATAAATAAAAACAAGAATATGCTTGCTGTGTCACTCGTTGTCGTTGCCCTTGCTTTCAGTGTTGTCCTTAAAAAAGATGGCTTAACTAGCTAGAATAATACGAGAATATAAGTTAGAGCTAAAATAAGTTAAGAAAAATTAAATAAGACAAGAATACAAGGCTAGAAATATTTTAATAAAAGATGTAGTTCATTTAAAATGTTTCAAACTAAACAAAAATAATTTATATGTTCTCTTAAGTATTTATTTGTTATTCATAGGAAAATTTAATTATTAAACCATAAATTATTGGTAATAAGCTCTTTAAGCAATGAAATCTCTATGTAAATATCTTAATTCAAAGGTAAAAAGTCTCTAAAAACTCCACAAAAAATAGCTAAAAAATCACAGAAAGCAACACTAGTTGCTTTTCCGCTTGTCCTACCCCCCTGTTGGATTCGTGCAAATGAAACAACTTTTTTCCGTCCGGCCGCAACATGGCAATTTCCGCCACGTCCAGACAGAAAGTACTTATTAAGTATTTTAAACAAGCAATCAAAGCCTCGTTTCACTCACACTCCCTTTCGTTTCTTTTTGAATCGCCTCTTTCCTGCAGGATATTGGATCTTCGGAGCGCAATTTTGTGATACTTGGGTGGCCTTTGATGTCATGTGCTCGACGGCGTCGATACTCAACCTGTGCGCCATCTCGATGGACCGCTACATACACATCAAGGATCCGCTCAGGTGAGTGATTGTGTCACCTGCATAAAATATCCCATCGATAACTAATTGTCCGGGCTGTCAGAATCCGGGTAAAATCGATTCATTAATGTTCGTTTGGATTCAAGGGGGGGCTGGCCACCATCGCAGGTGCTTTGTATGCACGTTACTCATACGCCGTGTGTGTGTGTGTATGGACGTTACTCATACGCCGCGTTGTCATGCCCGTCACGTTTTGTACCACCGTTTCCAGCACTCGAGTTGTTTATGGCACTGACGCTCATTAATCGAGGCTCATAATTGTTTCATTAGTAACAGATTTATGTGGCATTACGAGGGCCCCTCTACTTTTTTTCCTTTTTCTCTTGGCACTTCATCTTGCGAGTTCATCTTCAAGTTGGCACTAAGCACTTTTGGATCAGCATTTCAGCTGTGGTTTTGCGGGCCAAACTAAGTTCAGCCAAGTCATGCTCTTCGGGTGAGGCCAAGAAAATAAGTAACAAAAGAAGTGTCATTACCAGCTGGTGAAAAGTGGAGAAAAGTGGCAGTAAGGGCAGTTTGGACAACAAAGGGAAGAGAGAGAGGGGGTTCTCCATAATTGAGTTGCTATAGAAAATGTTACTAGTTGGCAGTTTCTTGCACAATCTTTTGGAATCTTTTATGATTTCTCTAGATAATAGAAAATTGTAGAAAAAAGTAGAATAAACAAAGGAGGGGCTAACTTTAAATTGATAAAATTAAAGGATATATTACAGCTTGAATCTTGTTAGCTATTGCATAGTATTTAAAACATTTCGTATACCATGTGATGTTAAATTTCTCCTTCTTTTCCTAAAGGCTTCTCTTAACTTTCACCTTATTCTTCTTCCTTTAAAATTTGTAAAACCCACTCAAATTAGTTGTAATACCCAATAAATTTAGAACCCCTAATTTATTCCCTAGCTCCCTTTAAATATATAAGCTAACCTGCTGGCAGGTATTGGTGTCACCTCGCTGAAAATGACTTCATCTCTCAGACCGGCTGTGGGTAGACCCAATGTTCCATTATCGTCGTTCAATCTACCTTGCGCATCCGGCACGTTCCTCCAGCTGCTATCCCCGGCGCTATCCTGGCAGGAAGCCTCGGAGACAATCAAATCCTGCTGCCTCAGGTGTATTCACAGTGTAGGAGTCTGTGTGTTTGTCAACGACAATGAGCTTGTCCTGCTGCCGTCGGGCCCTAAAATGCTGCCTGTCAGCCTGCCATGTTAGCCAGCTTTGTAGTCAGCAGTCAGCAGTTGTGCTGCCTGTTGGCAGCCCAAATTGATTTCCAACGGCAAGCGAGCGATTCGCACAAAGGAGGCATTCGGCAGAACTTGAAACTAGTTTATCAAGTGCCCAGTCCCTCTTCAGTTTCCAAAGCCTCCCTTCTCCTTCACTTCGGTCCGTCTGGACCACAACAATTGTGTGTTAATTAAATTTTCAACAATGCCTCAGACGACCAACCGCACAAGTACTGCTAGCTGGTGGCTTCTGTTGGCCAGCAAACATTTTTTTGGCATACGAATATTACATTTGCGGCCAAGAACAAACGCAAAAATTTATTATGTGTCAGCAGCCACAGCTGAATTCCTTCATTTCTGAGTGGGTGAGCCTTTGTCTCTACTTTGCTCTAGACTTTTGTTATTTTGACGTGTGTGTAGGCACTGGAAATAAAATTTAGTAGTTGCAAGTAAGGGAATTTTATGTAAAGGCTTATAAAAAGAGGTTTTAAAATTGAGGAATATTTTCTCCCTAAGATGTAGCACTCTTTCAAAAACTTCTAATTGCTTTTTTACAACCCTTTAACTCTATTTACACAACATTTCTCTGAGTGTCCCAGAGCTGAGTTAAAAATGACGTTGGTCAAGTCGCTGACAGCCACCAGGGGTCGGTGCTGGCTCAGTTGGGGAGCAACCCGACGAAATGATTGCAGGAAGCGTTTGGGATGGGGCGGGGTTATGTAGGGTCCTCGCCAGCTAAGAGGCAACAGGAGGCAACTATGGCAAATCGAGACAGTTGGCAGAGACCTAACCCCACCACCACAGCGCCATGCGCCATGAAAGAGCCATAATAAATCCTTTGATGCTATTTTCAGCCAAAAGCCAAAAGTAGAAAAATATATATTTTTTTTTTTATTTCAGGCACCACCATCCCGTAACTGTTTTGTTGCCTTTCCTGTTGCCACCTGGGGTGGCTTATTCGCTTATGAAAAATGCTGTGCGACATTTGTATCTCTCCTCCCCCCGCCATTCTCTGAATTTAACAGCATCCCAGCTTCCCTCCCATCCCAATCCTTCCCTCCGGCAATCCATCTATCTCTCTATCTGTGTATCTTTTGTGTGGCTCGGTTCACGTAACGAGTTGGCGAGCATATAACGCTCCATTGATGTGGCAAGTTGATGCCGAAGCGAGCTGAAAATTCAGATTGCACAATTTTGTATGCCACGGCAAAAGGATTTAAATGAGCTCCCCCTGGCGGGGGTCTGGGAAGGAGGAGGCGGAGCAGTCCTGTCCTGACAATTTTCATGGAACATTTTTCCCTGATTTTGAATTCCGTTTGTCCTTCGACCAGGGAAAAGGGGGCGGTACAAACATAGATGGAATTGAAAGTGAAATTAAGTAAGGAAGGGCATAGATTTTTCACCAGGTTGCAGTTTACGAGTAGTAGAAAGGGAGAGCGAGGGCAAAGCATCAGACAGAGTTGACATCGAAAGGTTGATGACGCGGTGAATGACACAAATTGCTTGATTGATTGCTTGATGCATTGAGAGGTCCTCTACTTGGATAGGAATATGTTTTTACAATATCAGGGAATATTTATTAGAGAAACTGACCTCTGAACAAAGCAATAGGTTTGGGTATTTGGACTGCAAAATTGTTAAAAACTAGAAGATAGTCAGTAACAATCTTCCTTTGCGATTGGAAAAGCTTTAAATATATACAAAATATATTAAAATTATTTATATTACATGACAAAAACTATAAACTAAGCTTGGTCCTTGTTGCTCTCTCAACCTCCCTATTTCTACAACATTTTCTTCATTAAGTACTTAAAAAATCTATCTAACTTGCCTTATCCCTCATCCAAATTCAATAATAGCTTTACTCTTGATGTAAATTGTGCAATTCAAACGCTGATTAAGACCGTCCTAATGTTGTCCAATATTAATTTGAGCCCTTGGGTTAATGACATTTGCATAGACACTCAGACCTCAGACCCTTAGCCGCCGCCGGCCAAGTTCCGTCAGCGACGTTGTGAAATTGAGTTTAGCCACCTGGATCCGTTTTGCATTTGCACCTTGGGCCAGGGCAAGGTACCTACCAACCTACCTACACTTCAAATGTCAAGCTGTCGCTCACACCTCACCATCTTCTCTCGGGGACTGAGGCTGTGCCTGAATCTGGGTGAGAAGGATTTGAACCTGAGTCTGAGTCTGAATTTGAATCTCAAGGAGCCACGCCAACGGCAACTTGACTGCAGGATAACTCAGCGCACAGTTGGCCACCTTTTGTGCCTGAGAAATGGTAGCTGTTGGTCATGCACTGAGAGAAATTGAGGGAATTTTCTTAAAGGAAATGTTGGTTTTAAATATTTATCAATACTTTTTTCACCTGAATTCTGGCTCTTTTGGTTTACTCTCCCTCTCGGACTATTTCTGGTATTTTCTCTGAGTGTCTTTCTATGTCTAGAATATATATATCGCTATCCTTGGTCCAACACCAGACGCGCTCTTTATGTAAATCTGATTTATTTGCATGTCAAAGTGGAGGCAGCAGCGTGGCGCATTCCTTGCCGGCGTCTCATTAGGATAACGCCCACTCGACTCCCACATAGAAGGACCCTGCGCCTACCCAAAGGACACCCCCAAGGCCCATTCATCTAGGAGCTGTCTCAAGGCAGAGAGAATCGCTGATTCAGTATATTTTCTTAGCGTTTTAGAATAATTGCAGGCGTTTAATTTAATTGCGCTCGCCGTGGATTTTCCTGTGGGGAGGTGGCGCTGGAAATTGGCAAAAACAATTTGGATAAAAAGCGCGTGCAAATTTAATTAGTAGCAGACAAAGTGAAGATGAAGCGACGTCCTGAACCCCAGAACCCAGAAGATGAGAAATTTTGGCGTACTTTATGTGACAAGTTGATGCCTCAAAGTTGCTTTAGCTGCTGTTGTTTTTTTTATTTCGCGTTCTCCTGGCATTGTCGGTTGACTTTGGCGCCTGTCATCATCGTAACTGTCAGGCACATATGTGAAATTCATTTTAAACTGCAATAAAAACTGAAAGAACAATGAAAGTTTGCCGCAGGCGACAGGACGAGGTTTTTCGGGGGTTCGTTTTTTTGCGTCGTTTTGGGGGTAGGAGCTGCCACACTTAAACGCACACCGCACAAAACCTTTTCGGTTTCCAGCTACAATGACGCACTTGGGAATATTTGTGTAATTGTATTTTGCAATGGTGTCTTGGTCGTGGTCGAGGATATTTCAAACTCAAAACTATGGGGTTGTAACCCCAAATCGCAGGGGATACCTGTGATGCTTTTATTGCGCAAAGATTGAAACTAGATTGGGGATTATTGAGGATAAATCAATGAAATGTAAGGAAGAAGTATTTTCTATTACTCCCAGACGGTTGTAAAGAAGGAAAGTGAAATCTTGTTAGGGAACAAATAGGTTTTCAGCTTTGTCTGAAAAATACTCTCTCTCAACACTGAAAGGTCTTTGAAAATATTAAAAAATATGTCACAGTTTAAAGAGCTTCAAAGTACAGACTCTTCTCCGTCAGACTTTAATACTTACGTCCTTTTGCTGACAAGATAATCACCGGCTTAGCGACCAAAAGGAGGGCAGCTATCAGGACTCAGGTATAAATCGAAGGGAAGAGGAGTCCTCCTCAGTAACTGGCGTCACCTTTTGGATCACGGTGCAGCAAGCACGTGCTAGCAATGACAGTAACGAAAACGCTCATAAAGAGTCATCAAATTTGCCAGGACCCAGAAGGAGGCAAGACCAGGACCACTGAAATAAAAAAAAACAAAAAAAAAAACAAAATACAAACAAGCTGGCGGCCAAGCTGACGTGGCAGGAGCAGGATAAAGAGCGAAAGAAGCAACTCAAACTATGCAAATGATGGCCACAAAGAAGGCGGTACGGGGATGAAATGAGGAGGATTCCGGGGAGCCCCTGCGGAAGGATCATTGTGCGTGCCTTGTGGTAATTTCTTGAGTGCATGTGGGACAAACACAAAAGCCACCGCATGCCACGCAGCCAGTCAAGCTTCCAGCGTTAAATGCAAATGTCCTTCGGTTCGAAGCAAGAGGAAGACCAAGAGCAAGAGCCAGAGCAAATGCCTGTTCCTGGCACACACTTGGCTTGGTCTCCTCGCCTCACTCTCCTGCTGCTTCAGCCACCTGGAACACCCTCACACACGATTTCAATTAGCCCATCGATGGCTGATTGGCTCCGCCAGTGCTATGGTGCTTCAGGCCGAGTGGAGGTCCTCGTTCTTGTGCCAGGAAATCGTGTGTCACCTAATGGCTGCAGGTTTATGTGCATATATCAAAGCGCTACCTCAGCCACTCTAAGACACTGAATTAGTGTGCGGGCCATAGGGATCCAGGTGAGGTCTGGCAGTGATGGTACTCAGTACTTGGCTTTGCTCGGTTTTCACCTCAGTTTTGTGGCACAACAAACACACAAAGTGGGTTTAACATAGAGGGAATTCTAGGGGATACATTGAAATACACATACATGACTCTCTTCTCTTTATTCAAAATAAAATTGTATTTAATTTACAGAACAAAAAGTTATCATCTAAATCTTAAATATTTTCTCAAATATTCATAAAAAATCTAGCTAAATAAACTAGAGTATCCTTACTCTGCAACACTCTTGACAGGTTGGCCATTGGCATCGGCGGTTAGGTGCCTGGGGAGACTGCTTGGGCTTTCGTCACATGGAAATCAATTTTCGTGCCGAAAACGAAATTGAATTTGTATGTGAATACAATTACATAAACTTCCGTTTCCGCTTTGTCGTCGTCGTCGTTCCGCCACCGCCGCCGCCGTCCTTGAGTAAGCGTCAGCGAGTGCGTCTTTGTATTGAAATTGAATTATTCTGTTTGATTTCCTGCACAAGCCAAAATGATGCGGCATATGGCACCCAGACCCAGACCCTCATCCGGATCCGGATCCCTTTGCCCACACTCCTTGGTTTTTGGGGTTTTTTGGTTTTTGGGTTTTGTGCAGACTGCTCATTTCCTGCCCGAAAAAGCGAAATCGAAGTGCTGGAAAAGGGCGAGCGAGAATGATTTGCATATGCCATTGGCATTCGCCATCGCCGCAATGCGTATGTGTGGCTTGTTCTCGGGGTTTTGGGCGATTTGTCGAGTAATTAATGACATGCTGACTGACCCGAACTCGGTTTCGAGTCCGGGAGCATCTACCTGATCCCGGCTACAGGACTCGGACTCCCTGTGCTGGGGCGGACCTTAACACTTGTCGCGCACACACCCCGAAAATGATGTTGTCTAATGGCTGCTGGAGCCGCTGAGGGATTGCCAGCAACATGCTAAGCCACAATCAGGACATCAGCATATCAGGACATCGCAACACGGTCCCATGTTCATGTTATCCACGGCTTCAGTCCCTGTTCCCAGCAGCCAGTTCCCTGTTTTCAGTTTCCCATCTCCCTATATCAAACGTGTTGCCACAGCTGTTTTACACACAGAAAAATTATGAATATTTATATAAATTATTAATTATGTGACTCCTAAGCTACCCTTATCAGGTATTATAAATTCAGTGAAAAGCTCGAAACACAATGAAGGAGTCATTTCCGACCCTATAAATCATATATATTCTTAATCAGCATAAGCAGACGAATCATTTGAGGCATGTCCGGGGGAAACAAATTTTTTAGCAATTTTTTTCAAAATTTTATAAGGGGTTACATCGTCAAAAGTGTAAAAAATTTACAAAAAATTTTTTTAAAAAGAAAATTAAATTCAGTAAGCAGATTTATTATCCTTTTAAAAACAAACACAAAAATGCCCTGGGAATTAATATTAATGCATTTTTGGCTTAGTTATAGACTTCTAAAGCTTTGATTTTTCCAAAAATTATCATTTAAATGCATAAAACAGGGTCTTTATATGTTAATGTTATTTTAAAGAAAATCAATTAAGCTCTTTGTTTTTGTAAATTTTTTATTTAAATAGAAAGTAGTAAGTGTTCAAAGTATATTACCGTGCAATTAAATTTTAAGAAACTATATAGAATACCCTTAAATATTAGTAACATAGTATATCAGTTAACTAGCTTGTCACATTTCCCATATGCATCATCTTTCTAGGACTGTAACTATTATTAAATATTAAATAAATACTTCAGTTCTTAGTAGTCAAAGTTTAAATTTAATTAAACGAGAGTTTTTAAAAGCTGCACAAAATGCTTGGTAAAATATCACAAGTAAAGGGAAAACTTTTCTCGAGTGTGGCCTGTGGCTTTTCACGTTTTCACAAGGGCAAAAGGGCAGCGGCATTAGCAGAACGTGTGGGAGACAACGGGGGCTACCCAGCATGGCGGCGCGTGTATTTCCGCTTCCTCGGCCGCAAATTGATGAAACCCTTTCGCTTAACCCTGTGTGACGCCTCCTGTTCTTGTTCCCTTTTTGCAGATATGGCCGATGGGTGACGCGACGCGTGGCCGTCATCACCATCGCGGCAATTTGGCTGCTGGCCGCCTTCGTCTCCTTCGTGCCCATCTCTTTGGGCATCCATCGGCCGGACCAGCCGCTGATCTTCGAGGACAACGGCAAGAAGTATCCAACGTGCGCCCTGGACCTGACGCCCACCTATGCCGTGGTGTCCAGCTGCATCAGCTTCTACTTTCCCTGCGTGGTCATGATTGGCATCTACTGTCGGTAAGTGAATATAAGAAATTTGGGACTAACTTTTAGCTCTTTTTATTGTTGTACTCTTTCTTTAAATTTTATTTTCCTGACTTCTTGTTGCTTTTTAAGGCTCTTGTACCATTTTATTTTTAAATACAACTTTCCTGTTATTATTTTAGTAAGCTGACTAAGACTTGTCCCCATTTGTTGTTTTTTTTTTGTGCATTTATTTTGTTATCCTACACCATGTAGAAACTCTTCCCAGATTGCGGCAAAAGTTTCGCTGTGCATAAAACATGAAATGCATAAAAGAAGGAAAGATATTTTCCAAAACGCCTTCAGCCTGCAATTATGTAGATACAAATAGCCCAGGGTTTTCGTTATGTTTGCCCATAGAGAAACCACAAGGCAGGAAAACTTCCTTCAGGCAAACCAAAAGTTTTGCCCGAAATCTTTACAAATGAAAACAAAGCGTGAACTCAAATGTTTTTATGCGCTTACAAAAAATAAAAGAAAAAATACAGGAAGCAGAATAAATGCAAGATTATTTACATACATACATATATCTCAAAGGTTATATATCCTAAATGTTGCAGAGAGTTTAGGGTAAAGAAAATAGAGTTTAAGGAAGTTTGAGTTTATTTAGGAACTACATAGTTATGTTTATATGTAAAAATATCAGCGAAAGATTTGAAAAAGTTTAATTATAATTTAGGTGAAATATTTAAGATGCATTTTATAAAATAAACTTGAACCTTTTTATAAAAGGGATAGAAAAAAATAGTTTTCAATTCCATAATTTAGATGCAGTTAAGATATTATATTTATAAAGGCAAAACTGCCTTAAGATCAATCTCAATTAACATTAAAAATTATACTTACGTAGCAAGATACTTTAATTTAATTTTACATAATTTTCATATTCGGATTACCAAACACCTCTCTGCATTTAAAGTACCCTTACCCGATAGGGCATTACCAACGGAAAGCAAAACAAATGGTGAGAGCCACCGAGGCAGAAGTAGTAAAAAGTAAATAATAAAATGTTGTAAAAACTGACGAAGTTAGCTGCGCTATCGCAATGCTGAATATATCAGAAAAATGCCACAAGGACTTCGTGCTCCGAAATGGCCCCCAGGCACGAGAGAAAGACAGGAAGGAGGCTCGAGGATTGAGGGTTTCGTGATGGGGTTGGGGTTCTCCGTTGGGTTGAGCAAATAAGCGCACGCATTAGTGTCCGTCTAAGTAATCCCCAGGAGCGGCGAGGAAAAAGACTTGGGCGTGTGCAAAGGGACTAGGCAAGGACACACTGCCACTCACACTCACACCCGCACACAGCAACAGGATAGCGATAGCTGCTCATCAACGTTTCGCCCAGCGGCACGTTGCCATTTTAGCTTAACGAGATTTGCAGCCATTGGCCAGGACCCCGCCTCCTGCCACGTCCTTCTGTGTCCGCACAAATGGATCCCCCGGCGGTGGGCATTGGAATTTTCTATCAAATTTCGGTTAAATTACAGAATAAATATACTTTTATCGTCATAATTTGTGCCTGGGCCTGCTTAGGTCGTGTTATCCTTTTTATGTGCCCATTGGCCATTGGCCAACAAATACTCTTACCAGGCACATATGCCTCCTCTCCTCTTTATTTGTTGGCTGCCGCAGGGCAAGGACTTTGAGAGCAACAACAACTCGAGTGGAAGATGGGATATGCGATAGTTTGTAGGTTGCGTTCGCTTCCCTGGAGCCTTTGTTGGCGGCGGGTGAGCACAGATCGCATCTAATTGACATGCCAAGTGGCCCCAGTGAATAATTATCATATCAATTACAAGCAGTAACCAGTAACTACAAAGCCCCGGTAACTGGTAGCCAGTTATCAACCAAAGCTGACAGCAAAATCACGACAAGCCATTCAATTAGGTGACAAAATAATTGCCATTAATTGGGCTTGCACAGGAGACAACTGTAGACATGATATAGATATGGAATTATGGTATTTAAATAGCTGCAAACTAAAACCTTTAGCCTTGTAATTATTGAATCATTATTAAACATATATTTTAAATACTTTTTAATAAAGATTTAAACCTTAAATTCCTGTAAAATCCTTCTCCAGGCTTTACTGCTATGCCCAGAAGCATGTCAAGTCCATCAAGGCGGTGACCCGGCCCGGCGAGGTGGCCGAGAAGCAGCGCTACAAGAGCATCCGTCGACCCAAGAACACTCCCAAGAAGTTCAAGGTCAGGAATCTGCATCATAGTTCGCCATATCATGTGTCCGATCACAAGGCCGCTGTGACGGTGGGCGTCATCATGGGCGTGTTCCTCATCTGCTGGGTGCCCTTCTTCTGCGTCAACATAACGGCCGCCTTCTGCAAGACCTGCATTGGGGGACAGACCTTCAAGATCCTCACCTGGCTGGGCTACTCGAACTCGGCCTTCAATCCGATCATCTACTCGATCTTCAACAAGGAGTTCCGTGACGCCTTCAAACGCATCCTGACCATGCGCAATCCCTGGTGCTGCGCCCAGGACGTGGGCAATATTCATCCGCGGAACAGCGACCGTTTCATCACGGATTATGCCGCCAAGAATGTGGTGGTGATGAACTCGGGTCGCTCCAGCGCAGAACTGGAACAGGTGTCCGCAATTTGACCAAGAGGCGGCTGCCTGAGCCTCGCCTGCTGTGCCGGCGGATGTTGCGGATGCGGCGGCCTGCGGGTGGACGACGACGACGATGGAGCGCTGACCACGCGCTACGTCCCATGAGATTCGGTCACGGCGGCCACGGCCACCATTGTGGAGACCGTGGAGGCCGCACAGATGGAGACGGAGCTGCTCTAGGTTCCTATTCCCAATCCTGTGACTCCCTGCAACCTTCCAGGTCCTGGTACCCCTACTCCTACGACCGACCCCTCTCTGCAAACCTGTAAGTATTATCAGCGCGTCCCCGAGACTAAGCAATCAACTATGCGTATACTTAATCGTACGAGTGTCTAGCTGTAAGTATCCCTAGGATATCGAAAAACGAAATCGATACCCCAGAGAAAAAAATAAAACCCAATAGCCCCCACTTGAACCCGAAACGTGATTAGGTCTAAGATCTTCAAAGCCCATCAGCGAAGAGCTTCTATGTAGTTAAGTTTCTGTTTGGATATTCATGGCTGCCGCTCATGGCTCCATGCAAATGCGATTATTATGGAGTGACACATGTCACTTGCCACACTTCTCACCCGCATAGAAACACACACAAAACACGCACAAAACACAACACACACAACACACTCAAGCTGGGGAAGAACTGGCAGACCATGAAATACCCTGTGTTGGGTTCAAAGTATTTCCTGTTGACTAAATTGCTCAAGGCGAACCTCTATTATTTATTTTTTTAAGAATAGAAAAATATTTAAATGAGAATTATATATTCCTGAAACTGTGGTTATCGTTTATCTAACTTATATCCCCCACTAAGAGGTACCAACACCGGTTCATGCATCGCGGCAGCCACGCTTTTACATTTGATTTATTGATGAGAATTTATGGCCATTGAACGAACAGCAGCAGAGGTCTGCCAGCTGCACTCGTAAATCATGCAAAATGATTATTGTTGTTATTCTTATTATTATTATCGCGAGCACTCTAAAGCCCCCGCTATGTAGTAAATGTTATGTTTAGTTCGGAGTGCCTCTCCCGGCATTTTATGGCCAAAGTTTGCAGACTGATTTGAATTTATGCGCTGAAATCTGTTCCACAATGGCGGGCCAACGATGTTAATTAAGCCAACTGTGATTGACACCAAAGTGTTGGTGGGGCAGGGAGTCGAGAGGTTAACCTTAACCCGCGTAGCCTTTTTCGGAAAATACTCACTGATTACCGGTGGTGATTTAATGAGCCGCACCTGTGAAAACAAGGTCGTCTCAGCTGCTGCCCGTTGGCATAATGAACATGTTGCCCCAGGCATCGCCTCTGCCTGTCCTGTGTCCTGAATCCTGAGTGAGGAAAACAAATGTAAACAGTTTGCTCTTCACGCCATGATGAAAAATTATGCCAGCACGGCGAGAAAAATAAACAAAGAGTATTTAGTATTTATGGTTTTCTGTCTTCTTTTGATAAAGTCATAAATAAGACGATAAATAAAACAAGGGGTAAAGGTGGCTCCTGATTTCTTGATTGAAATACAGCTATATAAATTAAATATTCTACAGAATTGATTACCCATTTAAATAAATATTTTAAGAGGAACGATAGTAGAGTTAATAACGTATATTATTTATATATTTGTTTTATTTATTTTGCACTCACAGGTTTCTTGTAATAACAATAATATTTCCCTCAGTGTTTTTCCTGCTCGGCTTTTTCCCTCCCAGGCACTCCAGTTTCAATTCCAGTTATTTGCGGATGCCGCAACTCTTGCCTCAGTCCTTGCCGGGTTCTGTTATTAATACAAAGTACTTATGTTGCCCCTGCTCCTGCGTCCTTCATCCTGGGGCCTCTTCTCCACCTTCTATCCCCTGCAATCCGCTTACAACTTTTTCAGTCTTTGTTTATTCGATTCCCTTTCGCTCGCACTCTCTCGCTCTCCTTTTCGTATTTATTTTGGCAGTTTATTAAAACTTTGGTGCTGCTGCTTTCGTCATTTTAATTACAATACGCACACAGCACAAGAGCCAAGCGAGCGGCATTTGTTATCGAGGCGGCCACGCCCACAGAGATACGCCTCTTGGAACGCCCCCAATCGGCAGCGGCAGCATTGCCACAACTGGCACGCAATCAATTCAAACTTCAACTTCGAACTCGACTTGCACGTGTCGCAGGCTCGCAGACTGGCAGGGAAAAAGGCTTGGAATTTTTTTGGGCTACCAGAGGCGGGTCGCACAGGCTCAGAGTGCTTTATGGCACACACGGAATGGCCTTGCCAGCCCCACTCCACATTCCATTCGGGTTTATTTGGGGCACCCCCTTTTGACTTTGACTTTGGAATTTGTCGTAACAAAAAAGAAGAAAAAAAATAAAGAAATGGCGAGCACATGATAAATGTGCGTGGCAGCGGCCATAAGCCTTAACCCATTATGCCCCGAAATTTGCTTACATTCAATATTGATTGAAATAAATCATCAATTATACTCGGCCAGACCGCAGGAAAAGTGATACTTGAGCAAGGCTTTCAAGAGGCTCCTTGAAAAGTTGGAAATTTAATATCGCCGAACAGTTGGAAACCAAATACTTGAACAAAACCCACACAAAAGCTTTTAAATCGTACAAAAATATTATATTTGTTTAATTAAAATCCACCAAGAGACTCTGGTTCAAGTGGAGCTAATCGCTTGAATAGGCTCCGAGAATATTATTGCCACTTCTCGAGGCATTTGTCCTTCGTCAGAAGTGGGTTAAGACCTTTACACCATAACCCCTTCGATTCGGCTTTGCATAATTAAGATAATGCCCCGCAGCTTTGCTTTGTTTTCCTTTCTCGTTATACGACATCCTGTTTTCCCTTCTCTTCCTCAGTCTCTCTCTTTTTCTCTCTCTTTTTGGATTTCCCAGTTTTTCCGTATTTTTCCCAGCCTTTATTCATCTTTGATTTGCTAGAAGCAATTTGATGATTACTACTATTGCTCAAGATCCGGTTTCTCTCTCGCCCTTTGTCCTCCAATCAGGAGAATGGATTCCGTATCCTTCGCGAGTTTTAATTGAAACATTTGACATCCCGAAACTCAATTGTCAGCCTGTCTATCTCTTTGGCCTTCCCATCCCTTTGGCTGTCTGCTGCTTCTAATTGTATTAGCCAGATTCATGTTAGATGGCTACGTGACCGGCATGTGCGATGGGCAAACTGTCTGTGATGGGAATTCCGAAAGAAGAATAGCCAGGCTGAGGACATGCCCTTTCATTAGCATAATCGCCGCACAACAAAAAACACTCACTGCCACACAGACTGCTTAAAAAATCACTAAAGCGAGGGGGAGTTTCTTTAAAAGTCTGTACATTTGCTGCCTAAATAAACAGATTCCACGTAATTGCTTTCGCAATTCAATTATTTGTCAATAACAGCCGCAAACCATTACATTTTTTTTCCTCTCACTGAACGTGTTCGAATTTTTTGCAAAAAAATAAAGCACACAAATGAGCATTAAGTAAATATTTGCCGGCAATCGACGAGTGTTCAAGTTAAACTTTTAATTTCCAATGGGAAAAATTGTGTGTTGACTTCTGGCTGGTGTGTGTGTGTGTATTTATTTTGCACAGCTCACACTTCAAGGACCCAGCAAGGACTTAGGCCAAGTTCAATATTTTATGTCGCCTGTCTGGCTAGCTTCTTGACAATCCTTTAGGCAGCCATCTGGCTAATCCCGTGTATGCATAATGGATACACATATTCAATTGGCAATCCTTTGAGCCCGCTTTAAAATCTGTGTTTGTACACATGTTTAAATTTGGCATTTCCTTTTAACATTTTCCATTTCCCCAGTCGCCCGATGAATGTCAACATTTCGCATAAATTGCATGTCGATTGCCAAAGAGAGCTCCAAAGCGGTCGCTTTCCATTTTGGACATTTTGGAGAGGCAGAGGGGCCATTGACGTTGACTGGTTTAGGCTGATTGATTGATTGATGGATGCTTGGCTGGATGGATGGATGTATGGCTGAATGGCGGGATAGATGGTTTTTCTGCCCAACGAATTTGCTGCTTCACTGGCGACGTTTCTCATCTCCCAGTGTGTGTGGGTTTTTTGTTCCTTCTAAGCACTGCTAAACTATCAACAGTTGGCCGCCAAAAGTTTGGCGCTCCTTGCTTGGCTTAACTTTGGCTATATTTTGGCATTTTTACAACTTTTACGCCTGCCAGTGTTTATTTTGCTTTACGACTTTCCACAAATTCCCGCAGTTTCAGCTTACACACAGTCTTCCTTATGGCTTTCTTCCTTTTCCTCTGATTCGCTCTCGCTCTCTGCCTCTCTCTCTCTCTCTGTCTCTCTCCTTCTAAGCACAAAATCTTTTCCTGGCGCGTGTCATTTTTGTTGCCTACTTTCCGGCTGAGCTCGCATTCCTGCGCCACATTGCGTATACGCAACGTATGCCTTGCGCGAAAAACGTTTTATTGCCAACATCGCCTGGCGTGCTAATTTATACGTTTGGCCTTAGTTTAATACCTCTCACAGCCCCAGTCACGCCCCGAATGGATCATAAAAACCCAATTTTAATCACAATTTCTTGTTTTTTGGGCGCTTACTTGGCGGGATTTTCACATAGGCAAATTAGCGAAGGCAATTCGATCGAACATCAAGGCATGTATGATGGGAAGCTCTTGTATTTTGTTACATTTTCCAATATTTTCTATGATTTTATATATATTTTAGAATTAAATTTCGTTAAGGTCGCATATTTAAATTTGATATTTATACTTACTACATTTACTTTCTTTCTTGGTTGCTAACTTAATGAATAAAATGACATAATTTCTTAAATTGTAACTTAGTACCTCTCACATCACAGACAAAGCATTGAGCTCGAGGCCTTCTAAGATTTTTGGCCCGGGTCCACATAAAAGCGGAATTGCGCCTGCATTGAACTTGACATTTGATTCGCAAACCCTGACCCCTTCTCACCACAAACAGCACTGTGCGTATACGCAATCTTTGACATTCGGCCAACTTA